TCATGTTCCATTAGTTATTGATGTCAAACTGAAAGCTAAATGAAAATATTTCCAAGGCCACCATGTTATTTGGCCTTCTACAGAAGAAATTGCCGCAACAAAGCTTAGACGCTTCTCAAAAGATCTACTATACACATTATTTCAGGACTGCACACTTAGTGCTGCTTTGTACCCCAAGTATGCTGTTACTGATTAATGGTTGGCTTCAGTGTAGGAGTCATACAAAATTTTGTGAAAATTTGTCAATTGGTTCAAAAGGTAAAAGAGAGACGCATACAAACAGTATGGATATCTCATAAGAGAGCAAAGTAGACTAAAAATACTACATATGAAGGTTGTAAGTCTCAGTGAGGTCTGAGCAGTACATCTCTCCTATGGTGAATTATTTTTGAGTGAAATAATACAGTTCTGTGTAAAACAGAGGGTATATTAAACCGACAATTAAATCTATCTTACAAATTTCGATGTGGACTTCCAATATAACGGCAACTGTATACATATCATGGATGAAAATCAGAGCAACAGGACGCTAAAATACAACATTCCAATATAAGTTTTAACTGAGAACAACAGAGTAATTTTTTGAGTGAAATCTGTTGATGATTTCCTCATCATGCATTCATTTAATGTATTTTAAGGAAAGTTCAGATAGTAATGTTTGTAGCCAGTAATCACTGCAATAAGACTGCTCTGTTTACTCTATAATGTTTTTTGTGAGCCATTAACTAAAGGTCATGGTATCATTCCTCAAAATGGGAAATATGCTGGATTTCTTTTAATGTTTGTAATTATCTATAACATTGCTTTTAATGAACACTTCTGGAAACAGAAAGATGAAAATGGTTTTGGTGGTGTGGCACTGTTGACTGGCAACCACAATTATTTACATCAGTGATGAAGAATCATACTGATACACAAACATGATGTTCATGTTAGTGAGACATCTAGAACCACAACAAACACACATGAGATTTGAGGTACTCAAATATTACTGAAGATTACTGTCTTCTGGCATATGATACCATATAGTATGGTACATAGTTAAGAGTCTGAAGGAGCCTGTTGCCTCCATCTTCAGGTTACCTACCCTGAAGATGGAGGCAGAATGTTCACTGGAATATAATTAGTTACCAGACTATGCAGTAACATCCCAGTAAGTAAAGCTATCCCTGTAAGAGGCCGTGAAGACCCATAGGGTTGTGAGATGTTGAGGGTCCCACATTATCTAGACAATCGGCTCACAGATGGCGGTAAGGTTGTCAGCCTTACTCGCCGGCCGCCCTTTACCCCAGGAATATTCCTGGTACTCATTTCTGTTAGAGGCTGAGTAAACCCCAGGGCCTAGTGCGGCTGGAAGGAATAGATCAATTGAAAAGAATCCAATGACCTCATTGGGACTTGAACCCGCGACCTTCCGGCTTGTAGCATAGCCCCTCAACCAACTGCGCTACCACGTGCCCCACAGTAACATCCCAGAAGGCACAAATCTTAAAAACAAGAACATCTACAATTCAAATGAGGGAAGCACTTCAAATTGTCATAGGAAGGAAGTATATGAGGAGCAGCATGCAATGAGATGTCTGCGAAAATTAAAACTGACAAACAGCAATGAAAACTGCTCCTTCCTATAGTGTTCTTTTCTTCTCTCTTGTTTGAACAAAATGGATACAATCAAGTAACAATTATGAGGATAAATTTCACAATGGTAATGAATACCAAAGATAACCAGCCAAATTGAACTTTTGTTTGAATCAGTCGGATATAAACCTAATCTTGCACTAAATATGAATCCTAATATAATTCTTCTCAAAATTAGCCAATCACTATTGTATCATGCTGTCAACCAAACCTGGAGGCTGCTTATGCAAATGTCAGAAAACATAATTTATCAAGGTCTGGTTGCGTTTTCTTTCTCTTCACTGCACTCAAGCTGACTTGCCTGCAGATAACATAAATACTGGTAACAGTGGTAGCAACTGCAGTATTCTGTGCTGCAGAGACTACTGCAGTAGTCAATAGTTCTTCTGCATTGAGAGACTTCTATGGAAGTAATAATCTGCATTTATCTAAAAAGCTTCTAATTGTATTCGCCACTGCAAAGCTTGATACAGATATTACAATGAAAGCACATACTAGGCACACAGTATGCTAAATGCATCTCTACAATTGATGACACATATTTTCTATAGCAAAACATGGTTTCAGACATAGCACTGTTATGCAACAACATTTCTTTTTATGAGTAAAGAATAAAAAGAGAAGACAATTTGTTCAACATTGTGGCATATTTGCTCAAAGCAAGAACTGCGGAGCCAGGGAAACAGCCACTTCTATGTAACACCTGTGTAATACGCAACAATGGAATAACTGCTGCAATATTTTCTGTGACAAATAATTACCATTTTCTGTGAGTAAAGAATAACAACAGAAGACAGCTTACTTAACAGTTTCTAGTCCTATCTTCAAGATAAAGACAAAACTGGCACTAATGTATCTCTGTTATTTGTTTATTATACAAACTAACATTAATATTCTCCTCCAACCAACACCTTGTCTCCAAAGCTGTCTCTGTCCATAATCTTGCTGACCAAATTCAGTATTCCTTTTTCCTTCTTGTTTTCCCTTTTTCAACAGAAATGGATCTTGACTGTGCTAAATTCAGTTCATATACTTACAAACTATTCCTCTATGATCCATATTAATATTCTCCACTAATACATGTCTCATCCCTCAAGTTCTCTCTTGCCCTTATCCTAGTTAATCACATTCAGTATGAGATATGAGGTTTTCAAAATGGTGACTATGAAAAATGCCATCTTCATCGTGTAGTCTGGCAATAGTTACTGATGTTTCAAAGGAATGCACTATCAGCATCTTCAGGTCTACCAACCTTCATGACAGAGGCAACATGTTCCTCCAAAATATAGGTAATTATCACATTACAGGACATCAGATATCAGCAATCTTCAAATTCAGTATATATATATATGTCTTATTCCATACCATGTTGCATGTATAACCTAACTCATCTTTGTTGTTTTATCCACTGCAACATTAATCTGACTTGTTCAAACTCAGAATTCAAATGTAAAACTATGTATCTTCATTTCACAGGACTTGTTTGTCAGGGAATCGGGGCACTGCAAGGCCTCTGCTTCTACCAGACTACACAAACATAGGAAGAACGTATGTATCCACATGCTGAAGGGGGTGGCTGTGCCATAGCTCAAGTGGTTAGTCGCTGGCTACCCACAGTGGTGGCCTGGGTCTGGTCAAGTGGGATTTGTGGTGGACAAAGTGGCGCTCGGGTGGGTTTTCTCCAAGTACTTCGGTCTCCCCTGCCAATCTTCATTCCATCAAACTCTCCATCATCATAATCACCTGGGGCAGGCTATAATAGGCCAATCAGTGGCGGCTATGCTGAGTGGACCCATTTGGACTCCACCACCCACTACTGAAGGGGATCTAAACTCACAATCTAAGTGTGCAATCAGACAAAGACAAAAGTGTCATACTGCACAGCCACTATGAAAAAATTAGTCGCTGTAACCTGGGGCAAATTATGTAGGTCATAATTTTTCCATTTTCTTCATTTACTAGGCAACAACCCATAAACAGCAGAAGTGGAACAGTGTTTTCTGTGAAGTCCATGCCAGGTTGTTATAAGCAAGACAGTGAAGAGTGAGTTCAGTCAGTCAATGGAGTGGAGTTGTGTGGTGAGTGACTAAGTAGTGTTGGTTAGATAACGGCTGAGTTCAGACGTTGTGAGAAGCTGGTAGTTGAGGCGGGGGATAGTCTGGGAACCCAGAATAAGGGAACACCCACTGCTGGACGCCAATACCAAGCAACAGCTAGTGGAGACTGCAACAGACTGAGAATACTAGTCTGCGTGATTGTGAGTTGTAAAGTGTTGTAATGAGGTGTATAAGTGTGCAATAAATCTGATTACCAACCTGTAGTCCATATTCACTAAGATCATAACAATATCATTGTTCACAAGCATCCACAATCTTTGTTATTCCTTCTCAGTGGCATGCCAAATACTGGACATATTCAAAATAAGGCATGAGTTTTCTATAAACAATAAAAAATAAACAAATAAGAACTTCAAAACCATGATATTAAGCATGACCTCAGAGCAGAAAATTTGTGAAACTAAGAATGTAGTTACATTTGGACAATGTAAGGATTCATTTGAGGGCATGGAAATGATATACCAAATACATGATTACTGGGAGAAAAAGGACTGGTACACAGATCTCAGAAAGGGAAAATCAATAAAAGAGAACACAGAAAAGGTGCATGCAAACAAGGGGTAGATAAAATTAAGGTAAGGCTTTGTCATGCCCAGTTGGAAATGTCAACGGATGATGGTAATTGTAAAATGAGAGAGAAAATTGCAATTTCGAGTCTTTGGCAAGTATTGAGAGCAAAAGGATTAAATCAGCATAATTAATGAAAGGCATCATGCCTTGTTTACAATTCTCAGGTCTATGAACTGTTTTAGAACTCATGCTGTACTCAACAATCTAGAGTCCCATACGAATGTATATATTTTCTTTTGGCCAAACAGAAGTTTTATCCTGCTCTTAGGATGAAACTGTATAATCTGTAATTTTGAAAACATTATTGGCCCTCATGTTCATTCACTACAGATATATTTCTTTCAGGCTAATCACAATGTGGACAGAAATTAGTTTTTCTTATATTTTATTAACTATTCACTATATAAAAAGTGTTTTAAATAAGAACTGTAGCTCTTACAAAACTTTATATACGTGCATATGTTTTGTACTATGAACAGTTTTAGAGGAAGACAATAAAGGTTTGATGTCAGCTATCTGTTATGTTGAGATAAACCAACATTAAATCCAATCAATTACTTCTACTGTATATTCAAAATATCAAATTTAAACAAAATCCATTAACTAGTTTAGAAGATGAAATTTTCACCTCATTATGTATTCAATCCTAGCAAATTAATGAAAGCCTTGTCTTACCTCCATCAAAGCCTGTGACAAGTTGTAGGTCTTCAAGCATTCTGGAAGCTCTAGCTCCTTAATTGTCTCACCAGGGTCAGCAGTCAAAACTGCAGGAAAAGAAACAAGGCAATTTAATTTACCAGGGATGATCAACTCACGGGATGCATACTACATTTCCCATTACAATCATGTTATTATCACATGCATAAAATCACAGAAAATATCTCCCAAAATTCCGTTTAAACAGGAATGAAGAGGTGTACTTGTGTAGAGAACATGTATTTTCCAGATATATTTTTTGTGCTTTTGAGAGCTGTCTATGCTCTCACCACAAGAAAACAAGAATTTGCCTTCCCTATAGGTATATAACTGCACTGTCTTCTCTCGCTCGGAAGCCGAGATCGTGGGTTCGAATCCCACTCAGGGCATGGATATTTGTGTGCGTTTTTCTGTGTCTGTCTACAGATAGAGGCCCTGCGACGAGCTGATCACTCACCCAAGCAGTCCTACCATATGTGTAAGATCTATAAAAACCGAAGTGAACGCAAAAGTTCATGCAGGTAGGCCTAGGCCCACTGGGGCTGTAGTGTCAAGAAAAAAAAATAGGTGTATAACACTTAGTATTTTTCTTTTGTCCAGCCCTTCTATTCCTCCCAGCAGGGGTCAAGGGGTGAATAACGCAAGTGTCTCATTGTATGTCACTATCTTACTTAAGAGCCAAAATTGGAATTGATACCTAGATGACACACATCAGCTGAGGTGATGCCTCTATGTGACCAGTGCCCTAATCAGTCCTCTAGACAAAATAGCATGTTCCCCTTAAATGCTCATATCCAATTAGAAGACTATACGGTGTCACAATGTTCGATGAGTGGGCAAAATAGCCGGGAGATTCAATTCAACATCAACCACAGAGAAACGAATTATTGTTAGAACGTATTAATCTCCAATTTCAGTAACTGCTCACTTTCAACATGAAAAATCATTACAATTATACATAAACCTCAGACATCCGTAATTAATACAGCACTCTTTGTTTGTTAACAATGACAAACAGCAGTAATGGATATCCACAGTGCTGAGGTTTTCAGTCTCGTGCACTAATTTTTGGATTTAGCAACGCTTTCGACAGCTCCGATTATTAGCGTCGAATGGCAAGAGGATCACTGAATAATGAATTGGAAATAATGTCAAATCAAGCATTTGCCTAGAGGAACTTAAAAATTCACGAAGACCACATTCTAGCCGGCCTCAGGCCGAGATTTGAAACCAGGAGCGCCTGGCGTACGAAGCATTCGACCGCGACGTTCGGTAAATTACAATGTCATACGACAAATCCATAACATTATAATTATGCACAGCAGTCCTGGCTATTGTCCCGCTCAAAAGCACTGCCAGCATACGTCTGTTCCAGTTAACCACAGTGGCCAACTGCTTCTGTCATCGCTGATTCGTTTCGAGATAACTCGTTCTGTAATTGGTCTTTGTTGATAGTCTGAGTTGCAATAAAATCCTACAAGCATGGTGATAATGAAGATATTAAAAATTATTTTCCATGTTACATGAGTTCGAGTACAGACAGTTCCAAAACCTGTACACATTTACTTAATTTTTTCAAGACGTAATGCCCTTTTTGAGCTAGCATAAATTTTCGTTCCATAAAGTGCCGTAGACTTTCCAGCGGAAGAAATGCAGTAGTGTGCACGAGGAATGCTGACGCTTTCATGAAGAGAATGATTGGCGGTACACAATGTGTGGTGCAGATGTATCAGTCACACAGTTTCATATATTTCCAGGTTCAATAAAATGCTGAAATTCTGTATGTGTACCTAAAGCCGTGAGTTACTCCAGAACAATCTAAAATCCTACGAAACAGGTACAGGTTCGAACCTGAGGGCCCCCTTTACTAATAATTAAATTACGCATCTTCAAGCTTGTTGGAGCGAGTCGGAGAAAAAGTACGAGGGTTATTAGGAAAGTAACCTCCGGTGAGCTGTTAACAAAACAAGCAACGAGGAAAGAATTATTATATTAAAAAATACGTACATACTTCAGCTACTTCTTAACATAGTGACCGACAGAACTGAGGCACTTGTATCGCGGAACGAGATTCTGCATGCCTGTGAACTCGGCCACGTTCTGACATCTTCCATCAACTCCTCATTACTGTTTAAGCGCTGTGACAGGTACCAGTTCTTCAGGTAGGTACGAGTGAACCGGTGGTAGCCGCTCGGAGTGAGATCAGGGTTGTAAGGGTGGTCAAACAACTCCCAGCTGAAATCCTCCAGCAGTGCTCGAGAGCGCGCAGCTCTATGCGGACGCGGATTGTCATGACGTTATTGTGGTCCCTTGCTGCATGAATCCCACCATCAGCATTCCTCTCCTGTCCCAGAAACAGCTACCAACAGCTTTCTGGCAGATAACGTTTGTTTAATATTTTCCGGCTTGTTTCGTCAATGTGTGTGCATCCACTGCTTTGGCTGCTCTTTGAGTTTAGCACTCACAACGCTTCAGCAATAATGAGGATGTTGATGGAAGGCGTCAAAACGTGGCCAAGCTCACATGAGACACATTTCTTTGACACAGGCATACAAAAACTTATTGCCGAACACTACAAATGCCTCAATTCCGGCGGTGAATATGTTGAGAAGTAGCTCAAGTAAGTACGTACGTTTGTATATATTTTTTTTCTCGTTGCTTGTTTTATTAACAGCTCACCGGAAGTTACTTTCCAAATAGACCTCGTATCATGCCTAAGTGACAGAATTTTATTACGCAACAGACCGTTCCAAAGTGCGTGCAGCATGAATACTCTTTAATTTTCAGAATTCGCTACACACGCTTAAAATGCATGCACGCGACAATTTTATGTCCCTATTTCATGGGTAAAGCTAAAGTTGTTCGTGTGCCTACTTCAGAACTACGCCATGCCGGCATATGGGAGAGTGCAGGTACAGCACCACGCATACTTAACCCAGACAACTGAATGGAGGTCAGTGGACAGCTTCTGACTCCGGCAGCTTCACACCCTGAGAAACAATCACCGTGACTCATCAGGCAGGAGCCTGGAGGGGCCTTTCAGCCGGCCTGTGAACACTACCCAAAAGAGTATTATACATATATTGCCTCTGCCTGAACCCGAATTCCTCGGTCTTCCGGCCCGTTGTGTAGTTGGTCAGAGAAAACGCAGACAGACACGAACCTGCTACGAGAAAAGAACGATGTGTTTTAGTTCGGAATATAACTTCTGGGTATGCGCAACGCGTATTTCTCCCCACTGTAGGTAAACGTGCAGTGGTGTTCTTGACGTCTGCATATACAATGTACCTTACACATCAGAATGTGATACTTGTATTCAACGGCAAAATATTACGTCGCTGTTTACGGGAGAATTAATTATGATCTGAAAATCAAGTAAACTTGTACAAAATTGAAGAAAGCAGTCTTGTGGGATTTGGCACCGTGTATATGTGGTGTTAACCGACGTTTCGGAGGAACGTATCGCCTCCATCTTCAGGGTAGAAGGAAAAATATAAGAAATCCGCAAGCGAAGAGACCGTGAGAACCGGTCTGAGAGACCGATCTGCTTATACCGGTTCTCACGGTCTCTTCGCTTGCGGATTTCTTATATTTTTCCTTCTACCCTGAAGATGGAGGCGATACGTTCCTCCAAAACGTCGGTTAACACCACATATACACAGTGCCAAATCCCAGAAGACTGCTTTCTTCATAGTGACCGCCGTGAAAGCCTCAAATCTTACATTGTACAAAATTACTCACATTTATGCAGTCGAAGAAATGCAGCGGTCAATCTCAAAATGCTTGTCTTGTCCATCTTCTTCGGAGAATTCGCGACAGTTGGCACTAGCAGGGCAAGGTTGCTGATGTGAGCGTTCATCTTGTCCCGACGGTGTTTCTCCATCATGTTGCGGTTCTGACGACTGTAACTGCAACAGACAACACATGTTCACACTTCCTGTTTGCACGAACAGTGCACAAAATCACAAGCTACACAAAACATGATGCACTAAATTTCACTTCAATTTAATCCAAAACACAACTGGTAGCCGAATGTGTGATTAATCTGTCTGAAGATGACCCAATCGTAGTCTCCAGAGCAGCTTTCCTCAACCCCTGCAGGGAAACAATGGAATAGCACTTCCATTTAAAAGGTAAAGTTCATCCTGTGTTTAAATAATTAAGTACTACGTTATAAAGACGTATGGGGGAGTGGACGCATAGCCCCACCATTCTTGACCTCATCCCTAGATGGTAAGTTCTCAGCTTCAGGCCCCGACCGCTTTACCCCCGGTACCCACTGGATAGGAGGCTCGGTGGGCCTCAGAGTCGGTCAGGACGCTGTGGAGAAGAGAAAATCCTGTCATGCCAGGAATCGAACCTAGTCGTCCAGCCCGTATCCCGTCGCTAAACCGACTCACATTACTTCCATATTTTTTTTTCCATTGGCGCTACAGCCCTCATTTGGGCCTAGGCCTACCTTCATGAAACTCTCCGTTTCACATCGGTTTACTAGATCTTACACATACGGTAGGACTCCTTGGGCGAGGGATCAGCTCGTCGCAAGGCCTCTACCTGTAGGCAAACACAGAAAAACGCACACAAACATCCATGCCCTGAGTGGGATTCGAACCCACGATCCCGGCTTCCGAGCGAGCGAAGACAGTGCATGCCTTAGACCGCTCGGCTACCGTGATCGGCATTATTTCCATTTAAGTCATGAAAACTTACTTCCACGTTCATTCCAATTCACTGTACATTCGTAGCCTGCGGTAATGACTACTTAAGTGAACCCTAAATAAATAAGCAAATAAGTAAAATACACTTAAATCCCCCTTTTGATCATCCCCTTAGGCTTCCGGACTAAAACTTATGTACGTCTTGCCTCCTACTCTCGTATCATGCTCTTCCATTTAATGCCAGATAAATCTACACTTCAAAATTACCACAACACAGGAAATCAGAACTGAACTGAAGTGGATTAGTACCAAGAAAATGTCGCAAATTTATAGAGAAAAGAAACCAGTTGTAAGGTTGCCACCCGCCCATCCCCTTGCAGATGCCACGACAAAACGAACCGTCTAGTGCTCAGCCATACAACATTCAGTAACTACCAACACATGACGTGACAAACGCATGCGCCTTACTCTCCTTCACGACAAAGCTGTCCCTGTGCTAAACTAATTAAGCACTACGCCATGACGACGTACGGGGGTTTGGATGTGTAGATCCACGTATTTTTCACCTCGGCACTAGTTGCAGATAAGTGATCAGTTTCACGCCCCGGCCGTTTTATCCCCGGGGATAGAGTTCCCGGTGCCCACTAAGTGGGCTCCAGAACGGGCCAAGACGATGTCAAGAAAAGAAACTCTTGCTCCTACCGGGACTCCTACTCCCGACTCCTCGGTTGTCCAGTTAACAGCCAATAGTTAGCCCGATTGCACTATCACGGCGAGTCTAGCTGAAACTGTAAATTGTTAACTACACACTAATAATCCATTTTTGTGCAGTACAGATAGATTCCAATGCGTTAATACTCGTATATCAGAGAAGATCTTAACATTTCGCACCAACGCCATGTTTATTTTGTAATTTTAACGTGAACAAAATAGTGTATGTTGAATGTACGGAAATGTTTGTTAACATACGTTATGTTAACCCGTTACCGAACTTTGCGGTACCATACTGGTTGAGGGGGTATGCTACAAGCCGGAAGGTGGCGGGTTCAAGTCCCAGTGAAGTCACTGAATGTTTTTCAATTGACCTAATCCATCCAGCCGCACTAGGCCCTGCGGTTTATTCAGCCTCTAACAGAAATAAGTACCAGGAATTAATTAAATAATTTTCCTGTGGAGTAAAGCGCGGCCGACGCGTAAGGCTGACAACCTTGCCGCCATCTTTGAGCCGATTGTCTAGATAATGTGGGACCCTCAGCGTCTCACAACCTTATGGGCCTTCACGGCCTGGTACAGGGATAGCTTTACTTTACTTATACGTGGGGGGGGGGAGAAGAAAAAGAGCTTTTGTGAAACTGCATATGTCTGCAAATATAATAAACTTCTCTTAAATGTAATTTTCATTTGTAATGGAGAAAATATGAGACTAGAGAGAATTTTGGAGTTGTTCTCGAGATCCTCACCTTAACCTCAGACTCAATACAGGTATGAAAGTGAAACTTCGTGTTCTTACAAATTATAATATGCAAAACTGTGCCCAAAATTACTTTTGTTTCTTACTTATAACAACACAGTACCGGCGTTAGCCTTCGTGGCTATGCCTGCTATAAGAAACAGCCACTACCCCAACCGCATCTCTCTATGTTAACGGCCGTGTGTTTTACCCGTGGTCAGTAACAAATCACTGTTAGACACAGTTCCTACAGTGTGGACTGAAGACATTAAATGAGTGGCTGACGTAGTCAGGCTTACATATAGCAAGTCGTCTGATAAGTGCATGACTCACTCTGCTATCGGCAGTTGCAGCAGCAATCTGTGAGAAATGTTGGGGCCGGTCAGCGCTGTAGCCAAGTTTCCTCCTTGACTGAACGCAGTGTACTTTCTTTGGGATTAACAGGCCTCAATACTACTGCCACACGAAGCCTCATGTACGTAAAGGACAGAAGATGGGCTTGTTTAAAATTCTTGAAAACAGGAGTTACTTATCGGATATTATAAAAATATCACCACATTCTACATAGAAATCAATCGTCTAACGTTATACACAAACGAATATATATTTTGTCACGAACTGCCATCACGAAGGAGATACATTTGTTCGTGTTTATTCAGCTAGCTGAGTGTGATACAATTGTGCTCTGCCACCAATTCACAACGTGTATTCTGGTTATTCATCCGAACGATACAGACCTTTAGGCAAGTCTATTAACAACGCCGAATGGGTTACAAGAACACAAGTATGTCTCTCGCAATAAAACACAAACAGAATGCGCTGACACTCAAACTTTCATTTCACTATGACTTTATATGATCTTTGCATTGTATAAAACGAACGTATAATGAAAAGGCAACATCTTTTGTTTGTAGATTTCACATTTCAAACTGCGTAATGGATTTCGACTATATATATGCGATTATGGTGTTGAATAAGGGTGTCGGGTGTTGGTAAGGTATAACTCGAACTTTAGATTCAAATGAAATGTAATTTTATCAATTTTCTAACCACACTGCACATCGTAAAACATAAGAAACAGACCACGCCTATATCGATGTTTATTTGAAACATGTCCGAATGTCGTAAGCATTTGACGAAAGACATCGAAAACGAATCGTTTCTGGCACCGTGGAGTGCGACGAGTATACACGTATGTGGTGCGATTAGCTTTGCAAGAACGGATTTGCATCTGCTTTAAATAAACTTAAAGCCCGGTGAGGTGTGCAGAATTTCAAAGTAAGTATTTTGAAAATGAGTGAAGTTCAATGAATACATATTTCCGCTCTTGTTTATAACCAAAAACGAATAACGTATTTCCTTCCCCCCGAGAATGTTTTCTGTAGCCGCTTTTGTTTCCGGGTTCTTGCTTAGATGAAATGAACCGCCTCTGTGGTCTAGTGGTCAGAGTTCCTGGCTACAGATCCACAGGTCCTAAGTTCGATTCCTGGCGCTACCAGATTTTCTGAGAAGTAGTGGATCTGAAACGGGATCCACTCAGCCTCGTGATGATAACTGAGGAACTATTTCAAGGAAATAGCGGCTCCGGTCTAGAAAACTGAGATTAACAGCCATGGGGATTCGTCTGACTACGCGACACTCTCTATCCGCTAAAGTTGGCACTAACTTCGCCGACAAGCGGCGGTCGCTCGGTCGGTATAGTTCGTTTGCGGACTAAAACCACTGAGTTTATTTTTCTTTAGATAAAATTCTTACCGGATTTCTACATGCCATTGAAAATGTGCGGCTTCCTCAGTGCAGTAAAGGCGTCCGTGTGATTATCATGCCATAATGGTGTACGTGGGATTTAAAGGAAAATCTCCACACATTATTAATCTCGACACTATATGAAAGCGGCCAGCTTCACGCTCCGACCGCTTCAATGCCGACAGCAGACTGTGTGCGCCCTAGAATAGGCCTGGACGTGGTGGGAATACAAAAGTGTTTGCAGGGAATTGAACTCCGGTCGCCATTTCCTTAGCCACTTTACTGACCAGCCTATCCCAAATCCTCGACATCGTGATTAGTTGAATTATGTTATCAATGTTGTTAAACTAACAGAATCGCTGCACCTGACAATGAATAGACAGAAGAGATGGGTGGTATGGTAACGAGATTATGGAACCTGACAAAACATGGGCTGCTAGTTTATATTTAGATCCATGCAAACTCGTGCAAGTGCAAATATCAGACACACAGACACACAGTGCAGAGATTATCGACTATGCACTGCTAATATTCCCCGCTAACTTCAGATGCGAGGGAACACTAAGTTCCGGGAAGAATCCCGACTCAATAGTAGAGCGCGCCTACGGTGGGAGAGTAGACAATACTCCTAGCACCTGTGCTGGAAGAGCTGCTGCACTACGATGGCGAACAAATATCCAAAACGTCCTTTTTTTTTTTTGCTCAAAATGTTTAAAATGGGACGATCGTGCATGTCCTTCCGTATGTTCAATAATAAAAAACTTGACATTGGGATGTGACACTACAAGTTGAGAGCGACCTTCATTTTGCTTCACATTGCACCATCTGCAGTACTTTTCGCGAAGCTCAAATCGAATTTTATCGACTGGGTTTTTACAACACTCAAGATACAAAAGAATACTCGTATTAGGTGGCATTAAACATAGCACAACTTGAAGAAAGCAGTCTTCTGTGATTTGGCACCGTGTATATGCGGTGTTAACCCAACGTTTCGGAGGAACGTATCGCCTCCATCTTCAGGGTAGAAGGATACAAGAAATCCGCAAGCGAAGAG